CAAGTCGCGATTCCAGGGTTCTGAGTTCTAGGACTCGACGAGTCACAAGGCTGACTCGGCGAGTCTGGTCAACGTGGAAAGTTGACCTTGACCAGGATGTTGACCTTGATTATGGGTAGAATGGTCATTTTACCCTAAGCATAGTTATCAGTTTCTGAGTAAGTGTCATTATGAAATTTATAGCCGGAGAGTTACCGGAGCAGTAGAAAGGGGTTTCTCACTCAGATTTTCAGCAGTCCGTCTTGCGAGGTGAGTTTCCCTTCAGTAGGAACGGGTATAAGGCATCAAGGCCGGCCCGTAGTATGATATGTTAGTAGTCGAGTGTGGGTGGGTCCCGTACCTCGCAGTTTAGTTTGATTATGGATATATATATCTGACTGTTAGAATTAGTTATACTTGTTGTCTGTGTGATACTTGTATGTTTGTTTAGTGGCTGAGTGTGGGCGGGGACCGTATCTCGCAGTAGATGAGTGTGGGCGGGGCCCGTATCTCATAGTAGCCGAGTGTGGGCGGGGCCCGTATCTCGAAGTGGCTGAGTGTGGGCGGGGCCCGTATCTCAGAGTCAGCGGAGTGTGGGCGGGGTCCGTATCTCCATGAGTGTGGGCGGGGCCTGTAGCTCTTAGTTGCATGTTATATGTGTACGGTATGTGGTAGTTTGGGGAACTCACTAAGCTTCGTGCTTACAACTTTCAGTTTTGGTTTCAGGTACTTCCACTGGCAATGGGAAGGGCTCGGGATAATCGCATGGCACACACCACAGTCTTCAGCCTGGGAGTTTTACTCTGATATTTTGATATGAGATTTTGACATGTGACAGATATTATGATATTATATGATACATGATACACGGTTTTATTTGTGAGTATGGATGATTGATGGTTTTAATAATGATTTGAAAACGGAATTTTTGGACCGTATTTTTGGAATGTTTCACAATACTTGTTGCAAGTGAATATCATCACTGGTCTCAACATATGGAAATATATTTAAAAAGAATTGGTAAGGAAGTTTGGAGATCCGTGCAAAAAGGACCACATGTACCTGTCCTTACTCCCATTGTCACCGATGAAACTCAAACCAGACTTGGAGGCGGTCAAGCTGTCATGGCCAGACCTACCAACGATGATATTGAGAATATGGAGAAAGATGAAATTGCTTTCTATCAAATCTCTTGTGGAATTACTCCTGACAGTTTTGATCTTATTATTATTAACTGTAAATTAGCAAAATAAATTTAGGATGTTCTTAATGAAGGAACAGAGCAAGCACAAGATAATAAGCCGACCCACTGCACTGAATGAATTCAACAACTTTAAAGCTCTCCCTGGTGAAAGTCTTGATGATTCCTTCAAAAGATTCAAGCTCATCGTCACCAAACTCTCGAATACACGCATCACTCGAAGTGATCATGAAACAAATATGCAGTTCCTGAATGGTTTAGGAAAGCAGTGAACCATGGCAAAGATGATAGTTCAAGGTGACAGCAAAATCAAAACTCTATCATTGTACAAACTCCATGGTGAACTACAATCTCAAGATTCTACGGTGATGAAAGACTACATGGATCTAGGTGGACCACTCACATTGGTAGTCTATTTGGTTATTGTGTTGCCAACAGTCTATAGCCTCATGTCCTGGATGGCTTCACAGTTGGCACATGGGGTGTCTACGGCTAGAGTCAATGTTGCGAGTGGAGGTGGTAACACTAGAATTGTGGTTTGTTGTCGATGATTTGACAGTGGGATTGTAATGGGAGGAGGACCTGGTTGAGGAACGATTTGTGGTAAAAACTAAGGAGCCAGAAACAGGGGTTGCAGCTGAAGGAAGAACTTGGGCATGCCAATTTTGGTCATGTTTAATTTGAGCTTCTTCTTGTAAGAGGAACCCGACTAGATCATCAACTGATACGTTATCTGATTTCATCATGAAAACAGTGGAAAATGAAGCTTAAGATGAATCAAGACCTGCTAGAATATAACTGATTAAGTCTTCTTCCAGAATGTAATAATCACTCTCGGCAAGAGAGTCTATAATAGACCTCTGTCACACCTTACCCGGCCGCTGGCGGAAATGCCGAGTAGTGATGGTACATAGATTTCCCAAATCACAGAGCGCCAATCATAACTATCTATTTAAACGAAAACCTATATGTCTTCAAGCTAATGACCCTTATCTTAATCTTTACTCCATCTTAGGAGCACATGCGATTTTTGAAAACATCAACTTGATGTTAGTGAGTTCACAGGTTTTGAGGTAAAGGTATAATAAACTCTTTTGAAAACTTTTTAGAAATCTTTATATTTCTTAATTTTCTAGCTTCCTATGTTATTATCTTTATTAATCCTAATTTACTATCTTTGCAGGATATCCATGATTCTATCTTATTATCTTTTAGGATGTTTAACGATCATATCTTATTATCTATTAGGATATCCAACGATCCTATTTCATTATCTTTTAGGATATCTAACGGTCTTATCTTATTATCTTTTAGGATATCTAACGATCTTATCTTATTATCTTTTAGGATATTTATCTAATCCTAACGTATTTTATTTACTATTTCTAAGGCGTCCATAATGATAGTCGGATCTCTAAGGTGTTTGTAATGTATTACCATGAGCCACCATCATCGACGCTGTTTGACTAATAATTGGCCTGCCATAACGATCCATCAGATGTTGAATAGTGAATAATAAGAAAGTTATCATGTCGGAATTGTAGCTAGCAATCGCAGGTGAGGGATGTCAACCCTTGTATAGATCTATATATATTTTTCTATCTCTCGCAAGATTAACGATTATAGGTACCGGGGAAGCCGAATTTAATCAAGGCTATTGGATGAATATTAACAGCTCACTAACGCATTAACATTAGGTAATTATCTTTTATCTTTTATGTTTTATCTTTCCTATAACTATCACAATATAAACCATTTACCTTATATTTGATAATTAGAACCTTGTGATCTCATAATTATTTTGTGTGTGTGTATGTGTCTATATATATATATATATATATATATATATATATATATATATATATATATATACACCCTAATTATGGTTATTTGAAAATAGGATATTTAGGCAGAATAACAATTAGGTACGGTGCATATCCTTATATTTGACCAACATAACTTCTACGTATTATGTTATCCTAGGGATTTGGCCATTATAACATCTATGTATTATCTCTTCCTAGACTATCGGGCATCATAACTCTTATGCATAATATTATAGCTTACAAGTAGGCATAGTATCTATAGCTATATTATCCTAAGACTTTAAGCTTTATAAAATGATTTGATATTTATAGATATAAATATATTTTGATAAAACCATTTGATAAGTATGTATTCCCCCTGGTAAAACATTTAAAATAGTGAAATTGGGTCCGTGAACTCACTCTAGTAGCATATTCTGAAGCATCCAAGCCATTGCATTTGAAGCTTCGCGCCATTGAGAGGACTTCCGAAATAGCTTGATAGATATAGTGAGTGTTTGGGATGAGAAAATTATAAAGTGAGCACCTCTATTTGTAGTGGTTGTGTGTGAGACGCACTTCATGCGCGACGTGCACTTGCTTCGTGGCTCCCTACTGAGTTTGTCACGTGTCACACTTCTGATGGTCCATGTCTCCCTAATCTCGACGAATTTGGGTGTCAGACGTGCGCAATGGTCATGACGCGCACTTGGCATGCACCTCTAAATCTTTTATAAAAATTCACATCTTCCTTATATGATTCTTGTTTCTTACGCTCTTTATATATTTGTGTAACTCTCTACTATTACTACAACTTTCCTTAAGGTCACGTTGCCAAATTTTGACTTTCATTTTTAACCCATATTTTATATTTTTCTAAAAATCGTATCTTCTTCATACGAACTTCGTTTTTGACTTTTTTCTTTTCAAAGTCCTTATCTCTCGGGTTACTACGATTTTTTTTCTTTTTGTGACATTAGCCGAAACTCAACTGATTTCTTTTATGTTATTTCGATGTTAATAGTGTTATTAACGCGGTTGATTTTTTTATCTTTTATAAAATCATAACTCCTCCAATCGGAGTCAGATATTTACAATGATTATATCATCGGGATCACCTTGTTGTGTACTTTCTAAATACACTGAACATTATTAAAGGTGATATAACTCTTTGGTCACTCATTTTGACCATATTATTATCATTTAACTGATCATATTTTCCTTCAATATGAAAAGTTATATCATTATCATCGGTTGATATTAATCTCTAATGACGATTAGTGACAGTTCCCAATTGTCACAACCTCTTACGATTAATGTAGTCGATCATCGAGAGGGATCCATTGGATATAGTTTGGAGTTTGGCGTTCATCACCATAAGCAGTAATTGTCTCGATCAAGCTTAATGTTGATCGGAGAAAGTTGAAAAGTGATGGCACCGGAAGTGGAAGTTGCGTGTGCCAAGAGAGAAGCGCCGGAAAAAGCCACTAGAGAGCAGCAAGAGGCAAGAATCCAAGAAAAAAAATTTATACGGCTCTTGATACCATATAAGATGTCTAATTGAACATCTTGCTTTGATTATTATTAATATTATTATTATTATAAGGCCCATGAAATCTATCCTGTTCTTCAATCGTTTCTTCATTCTTGTTGGTGCCGAGTTCATACAGATAAGTTTCTCAACATAAAGTCTCCATCTTTGATGATCGAATCTGTTTTAGGTGGTGACTCGTGATGGTGGAAGGTGGTGACTCCGGTGTTCAATATGACCAAGGTAAAATAAATTCTTGAAATATGAATTGAGATTTCAAATTTACAACCGTTACAAATGTAAATTTAGCCGTTTTGAAACAAAATTATGGAAATAAGTGAATGTCTCTTACCAATTTATAACTTTCCCTAATTATTACAAAAAAAAAATTTAAAAATTAGCCGTTATGAATCCAAAGGTTTTACTACAAAATCCCAAGATGAAAACCAAATCTGTGATTAAATTTGTTCAAAGATATCAATATATGAGTTCCAATCGATGTGCTGTTTGCAAATATTTTAGGCGAAGATGTCCTTCAAATTGCATTTTCTCACCATATTTCCCTCCAAATAACCCTCAAAGATTCACTTGTGTTCATAGAATCTATGGCGCCAGCAACATCGGGAAGATGCTCGAGGTGACAATCTTAAACATAATCTTGTTCATATCGTAAATTTTTAATGTCATTTGTCAAAAAGAAAATCTAACTTTTTGTACATGGTTTTAACTTTTAATTAGGAATTAGCTGTGGAAGATCGTGCAATCGCTGTGGAGACGTGTATTATGAGGCTAAGTGTAGAGTACAGGATCCGGTGTATGGGTGTGCAGGATTAATACCATGGTTGCAACAAGAATTAAATATCGCACAAAGTGAATTAGCAAAAACTCGAGCCCAAATTGCACTTGTTTCTGCTAATTATGTTGCATTTCAACAAAATGATGTTGATGATGATCCTTGTAATTCTTGGTTTTCATAGAAATTGTTTATAGTTTTGAGCTTTTGAAATATCATTGTACTTTCACTAAAACATCCTACTTTCATTTCTTTTATTACATCTACATCATTGTTCTTTCATTTTTTTTTATCATCAAGATATCCTAGTTTGAAAAATCTACCTAGTTATAGCATTGTATATGGATGACATTGCTATAATTAAGTAGATTTTTCAAACTATAATGTTGTAATATGAAGAAATGAAAGTAAGATGCTATAGTAAAGAAACCAACAAAAATACATTTTTATTTCTTGCGTTTTAACACTTTTTTTATAAATCTTTTGTGAATTGTGAATGAATCTCTTGATAAGTAGGATGCAATTTCTTTTTGATGTATTATTTTCTTTGTTAGCTTCTTGCTAGTTTGTTTTTAATAAAATTTTGCCGTTCTTAAAAAAATTTAAAAAAAAAATTCTTACCAAATTTGTTATATCTTGTTAAACCAATAATAAAAAAATTGATTGTTAAATACCACAAAAACAATAATAATAATAATAACAATAACAATAATAATAATTTGATATTTTTGTTAAATACCACAAATTTTAGTAATTTAATCACTTGATAAGTAAATGTCCCACCCCACCACGTTGAGATCCCTTCTGTTCAACGAATCATTCTCTTCTTCTTCTTAGACCATTTTCAACCCATCTCCATTTTTCCCCCATAAATTGAGTAAAAAATGGAGTAAACAGTGTTTCATCTCCAACCCTACTCCATTTTCTACCCCATTTTTTACCCAAAAAAGTATATTCTTAGAATATTCAATTTTTATAACTTGTATATATTATCAAATACACCCCTATACTAATTAAACTCTATATTTATGATTAATTAATATAAATTAGTATATAACATGATATTATAAATATTAAATATTGCATTTAAATTATAATTAGTAAATACAATAAACTAGAAATATATAAAATAAAAATTAGAGGGAGTAAAATTGACAACAAAACTTCACCTCCATTTTTGGAGATATGAATAGTATTCCCCCATATATGGGGGAATACTATTCATATCTCCAAAAATGGAGGTGAAAATGGGGTAGAGTTGGAGAAGAATGGGGGAAGAAATGGGGTGAAAAATGGAGTTTGGGGGTGGGTTGGAGATGCCCTTAGAGCTGCTGAAACCCTAAATTTGACTCTGAGAACATACGTCTCAATTCCCTGTTACTTTTCAATATCAATCTCATAATTTCACCTGATCTTTTTTGTTTTATTGTTCCATTTCCGATTCTACCACATCCGGTTGTTAGTATCTTCCATCGTATTTCCGTCTCTCTGTATTTGGATTTTGGCGCGAATTTTCGGTTGTCCCAAATAGCTATGGAATTTATAAATTTATCAAATGAATTGTGTGTGCCGGCTATATTTTGGATTTTACATGATGTTTGAAGCTCTAGTGGTTGCCTTCTTCATAGCAAGATGAAGATATTATGAATTTGGTTCTGAAGAGAAACATCAAAGAGTTCTTCTCCAACAAAGCTCTTCAAGCTGTCGTCATCATCATCCTTTTCACTGTATGCTTATTTATCGTCTTTTCATTTTTATGTAATACATTACTTGTGCACAGTATGCTATTTTTGCTTATATGATTTACTGAATTCTGAGGAGAATTATAATAGCTTCTTTGAACATATGTCTTTATGAAAGCGATTGTAGATGATAGATCATTACGTTATTGGTGACTTGTTAGATGATCTTTGATGTCAAGGAAGAAAAAAGTTCATTACCAAATTATGCTAGTAATAAGTTACTAGCATGTAATTTGGTATAAGTTCATTACTTATCTATGGTCATTACTTATCTTTCTTGAGTGATTGTTATAAGTTCATATCAAATTATGGAGGTCCTATCACCTATCTATAACAATTCTAACATGACATGTAAATTGTAATTACCACCATTGTTTTAAGTTGATATGAAGTTATTGGGCTTTGGGCTTGGATATTCATTACCAAAACCACTTTTGCTCTTTTTAGCCCTTTATTTATAAGGTTAAAGTTGAAATTGTCCAACTCTAACTATTTGCATTTTCCTAGAATGGTCACTATTCTTAAACAAAAGTTTTTTTTTTGTACAATTATTACCGGTTATATAGCAGGTTTAGCTATAGCCAATCATAATGGTATAGAGAGGACATTTTTTGTTGAGGGACTTTAGGTGTAAAAACAAGATAATGATCATATTCGGATAAATACAAATCCTTTTTTTTTTCATATATATAAAAAAGTTACCAGGCATATTTTAACTTTAGTTATTTGTTGTGGTATAAGAACACCTGTCTATTAACCCCATTCAACGAACCACTATTGTCAAAAATCAAAATGATGAGTTATTATTCTATCTTGTGGGGGCAAATGGGTCTTATCTTCTTTTTTATGTTATATTGTTACTAGAACAATAGGGTCAAATCATTATCCATGTTAGCATAGTAGTTAGTACAATAAACAACCATCAAATCAATTTCAATTATCACATAAATGTCTCGTGGTCCAATTTCCAAAACCCACAAATAGAAAGTTACAGGCTTTAAACTCTATGAGCTGTTCTGATTTAAGATCTGAATGACTGATAACTGTAGGAGGGAACCTGTTTCAGCCACGTGTCATTCGTTCATTGAATAAAAAGGCTGCGACATCTATCACCAGGGATCATCCACTCACTATCTTTCCATATTTTTCTATATGCCTAATGCAGTAATAATGCCTATGTATATATTTTAGCCATATAAATTTCTATTTTTTGTTAAAAAAAAGTAAATCTTGAAAATTTTAAGTTTGTCACTAAAAAAGTTTAAATCATGCATGAAATAGGAAATAATTGTATACACATGAAACTCCTGTTGAAGTGTTTGTGGGCCTGTCTTTTTTCACATGCAAGAATACATATATACATGATTCATAGCAAAAGACATTCTGTCCCATGATGAATAATTGTATACATGTATATATATATATATATATATATATATATATATATATATATATATATATATATATATATATATATATATATATATATATATATATATATATTCGTATCTGAGTTGTCATAAATGTCTTGTAAATTCCTACCACCAAACAAAATACCCAGTTACAATTTTCACATGTTTAACTTTTTTCATCAAAAATATATATTTTAACAAATAAAAACATTATCTTTGTACCTTATTGCACTTCTATATCAATATCTAAAGTTTAGATAACTCTTTGACTTCATAAAAACATTATCTTTATTGTATCTTGTTGCAAAATTTATAGAAACAACCATCTTTCACTTTCCAAATGGCAAGAGTTTCCATCAGGGACCACTTTCTGTATCACTATTAATTCATCCATGACAGAAATTCCTTTTTTTTGGCCTTATAAACTCAAGAATTCCACAATTAGGGGTGGTAGCTAAATGTCCACTTCTTTATTTCAGATAAATACAATCTTTTTTTTTTTTTTTTAATTTCATTATTCCAATTCCTTTTGCAAATTTCCAACTTCTTGTTTCACGCTTTTATTGTTTTACTCAGTAAACATCAACCAATAACCACAAATAAAGATTTGGTTTTAGATTGTGTTTCATGTTCTAGATTATTCTTATCCCAATGCTAGGGCTACAATTATTCTGTCAGTATGGAGACTGTTTAACTTCATCTGGTTCACTTCACTAAATCATATCATATGCCAATCATTTCATTCTATATATATATTCAATTATCCTATGCATTTTGCTTACCCAACAACTAGACAACAATCATTGCCATTTTATTTTATTTCATTTTAGATCTGATAATTCCACTGTAAACTGAACCAGTTCGTGAATCTAACCTTACACATGGAGTCGGTGTTTCTTTATACAAACATGTCACAAATATAATTTTTTTTTTTAACTTTAGGATAACGCATAGTGGCACCCACAGTGCATAAATTTATATGGTTGATGAATTAATGTTTGATCAGGAAATTCAACCACCAGTGTTTATAGTGTCCAGTTATTATATATGCTATAAAAAAAACTTGGTACTTTAATGTACTAAGAGACAAGTAGGTAGTGTACTATTGTTTATGCATGAAGTACTAAAACGAAACTCATCTCCATTCATTAAAAAATAAATACTTTGGACAAGAAAATCTTTAAACACTGATATGTAACTTTTAAACAACACAAATGTAATGTACTACTCGATCCCTATTGCTGTTGAATGTACATGTGGTGTGAAGCACGCGTCGGCTTGCTCTCCGTTTGAAATTTCATAATCGTCCCGACAGAATCCAACCGGCCCTTTGTGCCGCCTGTAACCGCCGCCTTGTCACCGCCACTAACCACCACGCGTTCTCCGGCGACTCTAACGGATTTATGATTTGTACAACCGGAAAGAATCCCGGTTCCTTTAATCACTCGTTCCATATGAGTCTTTGAATTAGTCCGTGTGGTGTCCTCGTAATCGGATATAATCGAGAATCCTGTCACACTGGCGGTGACAACACTCCATGCAATGCTGGCCTCACTCGGGGCGTACCCGTTTGGAAGTGTTGCATTGCTTGACCTCCCATTTGAAACTTGTCGTGCAAGAAACGAGTTATTCCCATTAGTTGAAAAGCTTTCGATTTCAAATAAATCCGAGCTCGCGTCACTTCCCGCATCGTTGTTTTCCCCGATGTTTTCGGCTCTCGGTGTCACTCCATCCCAATTCAACATAGTTAACTTCCTCTCCAAGCTAAATGATTTCTTCCCCTTTTCCAAAACCGGTGAACCGAAGGCTTCCGATGAGTTTCTTCTTGTTTTCACATGAGTGATGTCACCTTCTTCGACTTCCGGTGGTGTGCTGGTTTTGGCGGGTGGGAAAGCGTTCAAGACAGGGAACACGAAGGAATCTTCTTTCTTCGTGTTCGCTTTGTCGTCAGTGAAACCGCCAGCGAATTTCGCTGACGGTTTCGGGAGTTCTTTAACAAGAACTTTCTTTTCAGTAATTTTAACTGACGCCTTGTCATTGCAGTTGCAACCAAGGGAGTTTAGTAAACTCTTTACACGGGTGGGTTTCTCCTTTTGAGACTTGGGAATCCTTCGGTTACCATTGTTAACCAAAAGACCGGTTCGGCTATTCCAACTGGATTCAGACCGAACACTTGGAGTTGCGGATCCGGTTTTTGGTTTAGTTGGTTCTTCGTCGTCTTTTACTATTTTTCCCTTTGGATGATGGTTTGGAGGGTTGATGGAGTGAGGAGTTCTTGGAAGTTGTTCATCCATGGCTCCTTTGAAGTATTTTTCGGCCCCGAAAATCCCGATTTCTCCATCTTCTACTTTCTTTTTTTGAGTACTTGGGAGAGTAAGCTTGAGCACCGTAGGGTTTTCGTTCATGTAAGATGAAAATGATGCATCTATGCGATCAACATTGTTTCCAAACAAAGAAACCCTTTTCTCCGATGCTATCATGTTCGTATAACACAACGAGAAACAATAGAACACCCACCAAAAAAAGAAAGTTTATTTGCAAGAATGATGGATCAAGACCCAAAGAGAGGGTTTAAGAACAAATGAACGAAAAAAGATAGTTTTTTTCTTGCAAGAAAAGAGGGTTATATGAGTTGGTGGTGGATGTTAAAGTATTGTGTTTATGAAGGGTTAGAAAAGTGGTTTTGGAAGTGGAAGGAAGTATGGGGGTGATGAAGAGGAGGGGGGCCATTTGTTGTATAAATAGGGAGAGTTGTGTTATGGAGATGGCTTGAGTGATTGAGTTGGTAAAGAAGCCAATTGCATGTGCATATGCTTCTTACACTTTTCACTCTTTTGACACTTTGTTCCCCTTAAAAATATTATTATTTTTTCTTTTAGAACCTTGCGAGTGTCATCATCTTTGTCCAGATTTCTAAAAAAGATCGAGTTGGATTAAGCTCGAAATTCCAAAATATGGCTTGATGTTGAAATAAACTAGAGATTTTCAGTTCAAATCATGTATAATGATTTACAAAGAACGTGAAATAATTAATATCCATAAAGTTTCATTCCTTTTTGTATTTAAAGCCTCTTTAGCTATTAATGACATGATGCTATCCTTTCATTTGGCTCATAGTGTATGTCTTACACGGCACAAATTGTATGATAATATATATAGAGGTTGCACTGATGCAATTAAGTTGAAACTCTAGAAGTAATTAACTTGAAAAAAATAGCAAAAATACCAATTAAGTTGAAACTCTATAAATAATTAAATAGAAAAAATAGCAACCGTAGTCAGAATTGTGGGTCTAAGATTATTTTATTATTAATTTTTTTTTGGAAGTACAAATCTACTTTTACTCTTAAACTATTCGTAAATTCACCTATGTATTATGGGTCTCAGAATTTTTTTGGGGACCGCAAATCTACTTTACTTTTAAACTACTTCTAAATCCACTTATGTCTCTAACGAGACTTGAACATTCGACCTCAAGAAGGAAGGACAACATTGGATACCGATGGACTAGAAGCCATTTGGTAAGTTTATATAAAATCGTTTAATATTTAATATAGATAAACTAGAAATATATTGAATTCTATATTTTGGTGATATTTGGTATTGAGATAAATTATGAATAGTTTATTGTTGAAGTCGGTGATTTATGATGTTTTGAACTTGTTTTTTTAAATTCTTGCGGAGTCGAAAGTCCATAGAACTTCATATTACAACAATATAGTACGGTGTACCAAAATGTATTTTATAATAATATAAAAAATATGTACTCTATAACGATATAAAATAAAAATGGATTTTCAGGCCGAAAATATGTTAGACTAAACAAATTTATGTTATTATGTAGATAAAAAGAATACGGTCTCAATGATATATTATGATTTATACCGAGTAGACGAGTATTACTTAAGAAAACCTATGATAGAAAATCATAGCAACAAATTTGATTAATTAAAAAAAAAATTGTCTAAGATATTATTATTAAAGTATTACTCATGCATCGGAAATTGTTGATGTTAAATAGAAGTACACGACAATATGTCCATGTATGTAGTTGTTAAATGATCTTAACTTTCCATTTGCAAACAAAATTGAAGTACTAACCCAAAAGGTATAGAATGACTTAGGAGAGTTGGTTATTTTTGTGCACGCAAACAACCGTATATATGAATTATGATAGTTCGTACATCAACTCGATGTCACTTTAAACTTACAATAATAACAATATGGCCCATGCATAGAATTAACATCAATTTTGATGTCTTTTTTGCGTCCTTGCCGACGAAAAAACTTTAATTTCATGGTACTATCTTTATATGATTAATGATTGATTATTACACCAATCTTATCAGTATATTAGACAAATGTTACTGTTTGGTTGATGATGTTTAAACGACTCTATTTCCATTTGCCATTACATTTTGTGGTGTTTATTCCACATCTTTTTGGCACCGTGAATCATGAATGTTCACGATTAATCAAAAAAATCCAAGGATTTCGTAAGATATTCTCTTCTTTGTTTTTTTTTTTTTTTTTTTTTTTTTTTTTTTTATAATCAATAAAAACTTTTGATTTTTATGATCACTAGTACATTTTCGTCAAATTATTTCTATTTTCATCCGATCCTATATATGTACATAGCTAGCTAGATCCGTCTTCCTTATCCACTAGTGAATAGTGATTGCTTTATACGAACACAACCCAATAAGTCATAGATAGATATCCCATTTGTATCAAACAGTTCCCCTTTTGTGTACATATGAATGTTATGTTATGTCACAACTCACAACCACTGTGTAAGAAAATGACTATTTTAACCTTTAGCTCTCTCACTTTTCAATGTTAATACACAACAAACAAAAAAAAAGGGGGTAAATTAAATTAAGTGAAGGAATTTTTTTAAAAAAAAAAATTATGTTGTCGTGTTGTTTTGATTGTCGACTGCCCAATATCTTTTAACGGCTATGAGTATTTTTTCCGGAACCAATGGCCCGTCTTCATGATCCGCTAATTTTGTGTCCCATCTTAGTGACGTGGCTATGTTCTTCACCTTCATAATTACATCCACTTCATCACGTATTATAACAGCCCCTTCTGGCCTTAAGATCCGATCCATTTCCAACAAAATGTCTTCAAAATCACATCTACATTTAATAAATATAAATACAATTAATGAAGGAAAGAAAAAAATAATAAATAATAGTAATAATAAAACTTTGGTATACCTGTCATTGTACAAATTGAATAAACCATTGGCATGAATGAGATCATATGTGCGTGGGTACGTCGAAAACGCTTCACACCTACAATATTATATTATATTATTAATTAGTTAATGCTTTTCTAATTTAATAATCTAATTTTAATTTTTAAATGATTTGTAGAGTATACCAGTCGTGATATATGCCAATAAGGCCACGTTCGTAAATAACTCCAAGAGTATTTGTCTCAGCGATATTCGGAACAACATTCATAACCCACAACTTAAAGGAATGAATCGCAGCTGCAAAACCTCCCAAACCAGCATTCATATCCATTACATTCCGATACCTTCCGGAATCAATCATTCCATTCATCCGTTTATAACCATTCACATGTTTCTTCCATTTTTTACCATCCTCCATATATTTCTCAACCGACACACCCGGAATCGACCCGCTAACAATCCTCGGTGGGACCGCATCATAAAGTCGTTCAGGAAACGCCACGTAATCACCTCCACTTCCAGCACTCACACATGTTTCCATTTTCTTGTACCTATAATATAAAAAAAATTATAATTTTTTTTGTTGAATTTGTTGGGATGCAAAGTTTTCCATTTGATGATGACTTGAAGGTTTCACCCTTTTATGACATGTGTGGAATTCAAGCCATGTGACTTATGGATTGAGCTTCCTTATATATACTAGTTTAGTATTCTTTGTAGGTTGAGAGAGTTCACATTTTGTATAAATGAGTAGATTAGTTTTAGAGAAAGTTTTGTAGGAGCAAGAACATGTTACTACAAATTTTGTTCTAGTCCATTTTATCTATACAATTGTGCTTAAACGTTAATTCGTTTCTTTCGATTATGCACTTCTACATTCCGCAATGTCAAATCAAAACTTCATGTTCTAACAGAATTGAAGAATTAATAAATAAAATAAAATGTTTTTTTACCAAACGTCATCGGGATCGTTGGAGCAGAATTGGATCCCGGGGGTGTTTTCGGTGGGCCGACATGATTCAGTGTTTGATTTTTTTTGCCAAATGGCCATTTCGCCCTTTTCGGATATTTTCTCCCAACAAAGAAGCTTAGCAATGGATTCAATCTTGAGTTGCTCTTCTTCTAGATCTTCTAAAGTACGTTGCCATGATTTGTAGTTGTTTTTCCAATTAATTGGAGGACCCGAAAGTACCCAGTACCCACCCGGTCTAAGAACCCGGTCAACTTCCATCATGTACTTTCCATCTGCATCAACAAATACCAATGTACATTAGTACTTTGAAAAATCTACGTAATTAATTAAAACAGTAAAAAATTAAAAATTGTCTTCACCATTTGAACCCCATGGAATCAAACAGCGGGAGCAATGAGCCATGTCAAAAGCCTTAGAAGGATAAGGCATTTTAATGGAACCAAGAACGCCAATGACAGCTGGCACCCCTCTTTCAAGAGCAAATTGAACTTGTGCTTCATGGTTATCTCTAGGTGCAAATGACATAGCTATCACATTTCTCTTCCATAGATATGCACCAAAACTTGCAACCTAAAATCAACAACAAATATATATATATATATATATATATATATATATATATATAATATAAATTTAAAAACCCCAACATTTAGAAAGATTTGAATATTAAACACACATACCCCACAACCGGTGTCAAGTGCAGTTCTCACAGTCCCATTATCAATGGGTATCACAGAAGCAAGTTGATCAATGTAAGCATCAGCTCCTTGAGGAAACTGTGTGCCTCCACCTGGGAATCTAAACACGTTGCCTTCATACTGAATCCAATTTTGAATAGCTTTTTCAACTGTTAATGCCTTGTATGGTGCATTTGCATAAGGAACATAATCACGACTTTTAGGCCATGAAAATGGTGTCACGTATCCTTGTGGTGCAGGAACAAGACACTTCAACTTTTCTTCTTGTGGAGGACAGTGTCTTTCTCGATAGATCATGTCGTTTCGTGGGAACTTCATTGCTCGTTTTTGATCTTGACATGGTGTGTAATCTGTGAAGTTAGCATCGCATGCTGGGAAATCTAGGGTTTGTGATGTTGAATCGTTGTCAATGGTCCCAGCGTGGTGAGTCTCGAAGTTTAGATTTGGGATCGAGTTGCAGTTTGTATTACTGGTTTTTGTTATATCCATGACTAGCAAGTCTCCTTTCCCGAATCCATTCCTCTGCCATCGCCCAAATAGATAGAAGAAACCACACAAACTGGCGATGATGAATATATAAACGAAGCTCCGGCTTCTGTTGTCTCC